TTCTACCATCCCCGTTGAAGCAAAGAATATAGTTAGTTCCACCCAACCTAAAACTCGTGTGGACTCCACTTCTGTCCAAAAGACCTCTCCTCGGACCATCTCATCTGTTTTCATTGCTAAATCTGATGGCACAAATTTTAAACCAAAATCTTCAAAAACCAATGTGTCATCAAGCAAACCAAAAAAATTAAAGAAAACAATCTCTTCAAAATCTTAAAAGCAAAATTTTTTGTGGAAAATCAAATCAAGCATTGATGAAACTGTTGTTCTGAAAGTATCAGTTGTACCCATCTCTCCGAAAATTTATGTTCCAAAGAAAACTGCTCCGGAAATTTGTGTTATTGAATACTGGATAGATGAAAGAACAATGTCATTCTATCTATTTCCCAAGGAATATCGGAACCAGCCTTCAAAACCTTCAGTTGCTCATAAGTCATTTAAAAAGCCAAAGACCCGTGCCCTTGTCCTAAAATCTAACTCGGAGCCTGAAAACTCCACTATTCACTAATTTTGTAGGCACTCAGTGCTTCAGAGCAAGAGACAATATGGTATATTGATAGTGCTTGCTCCATGCACATGACGTGGCAGAAGGACTTTCTACGAGATCCGAAGCTTTCACCAAATGTTGGCTATGTAACATATGACAACAATTCTAATTCTCAAATCTAAGGTTATGACATCCTTACCAATGGAAACTTTTCAAACATGGCATATGTAGCTGATCAAAAGCACAACATGATAAGTGTGGCTCAACTCACTGATGAAAATCATCGAGTTGAATTCTGCAAAAAAACATAGCTACATCATGACCGAAGATAGAAAAGAATACTTGATCAAGTCCAACCACAACATGAACATATGACCTTTTGACATCAACATGATCATTGGCAAGCCCCAGCTGTGCTTACTCTACAAAGCTATTCCTAAGGTCAGTTGGTTATGGCACCGAAGGCTTGCTCATTTGAACTTCAGACACATTAATTATATTATTTCAGGCAAAATGGTTAGAGGTCTACCACTCCTCAAATTTGAAAATGATCACTTATGTGCTACATGTGAGTGTGGTAAGCAGTCAAAGAAAGGTTATCCAGTCATCATTGAAAAATTGATCTCCGAGCCCCTAAAACTTCTACACATTGATCTATGTGGACCATTAACAGTTTAAAGTTTACATCACAAAAATTACATTCTTGTGATTGTGGATGATTTCACTAGGTTCACTTGGGTTTTCTTCCTCTGACTGAAGTCAGAAACAGTATTCAAGCTCATGAATTACATCAAAGGAATAGAATTTCTTATCAAACTCCCAGTAAGGCAAATCTGAAGTGATAATGGTTCAGATTTCACAAAATCTACGATTGAAAATTTCCTTACCGAGAAGGGCATAGACCATAATTTTTCTGCTCCATACAATCCTCAACAAAACGGTGTAGTCGAACGAAGAAATAGAACTCTAGTTGAAGTTGGTCGATCAATGTTAAACTTTGCAAATCTTCCTCTCTATCTTTGGGATGAAGCTGTTTCCACTGCATGCTTCACTTAGAATATAAGTATCATCAATCGGCGCCTTAACAACACATCATACAAAGCCATGAATGGACAGACGCCAACGATATCGTTTCTTCATGTGTTCGGATGTAGATGCTTCATCAAGAACCGCAATTAGCTTACCAAGTTCCAACCCAAGGCTGACGAAGATATTTTCCTTGGATATTCCTCAAAATCAAAGGCTTACCGAGTCCTCAATCATAGTACTCGAGTTATTGAAGAAAGTTTTGATGTTACCTTTGATGACAATTTCTTTCGGAATTCTAGCCCCACTCATGTACCACTCACATTATGGAGTCCGATGCTCCTCCTCCGAAATGTCCGAACATTCAAGTAATCCATGAAGTAGATTTTGAAACTCTCATTGGACCCTCCGAAACAACACTTGATTCGGAATATCGTATAGGGCATCATGCTACTCCAAATGTTCCTATTTCTCAAAATGTCTTTGGTCCTACTCCAAGTATTCCTCCATTTGATTCTGAATCATTTCAGCCTTCACAGGTTGAGGGGGAGAATGGTCAACATTCCATTGAATCAAATATGGATGGATTTTAAGATGCAGTTGTTGACTTCGATGACTCAAATCCGATCGACAATGATGAAAATGAAAACTTCTTTGAGTTCCCTTCTGATGATGATGTCAATCTCTCCGGTTCAGAAGTTCGGGGGGAGCATCATCCTCACGTTCAAACCATTCAGGGGGAGCAACTCAATCCCATCATTGATATTGGCTCATCTACTACTCAAGAACTTCCAAGGTTACATGTCTGGACCAAGGACCATCCTCCGAACGAAGTGATTAGAAACATAAATGCTGGTGTACAAACTAGATCTGCTGCAAGTCTTCAACATGAATGTCACTTTTTGGCATTTATCTCCATGGTTGAACCCAAATCCATTAAAGAAGCACTTGAACATGCTGATAGGATCACATCCATGCAAGAAGAACTGGTAGAATTCGATAGAAATGAAGTTTGGTCTCTTGTCCCTCCTCCTCAGAATCATCCTATTCTCGGTATAAGATGGGTGTTTTGCAAAAAATTAGATGATGCAGGAGTCATTATTCAAAACAAAGCAAGACTAGTGGCTAAAGTTTTTACTCATATTGAAGGCCTCGACTACGATGAAACATTTTCTCCTGTTGCACCACTTGAAGCTATCAGAATCTTCCTTGCTTATTCTACTCATAAAGGCTTGAAAGTTTACCAAATGGATGTTAAAAGTGCTTTTCTAAATGGTGAACTTGACACTGAAGTATATCTTCGACAGCCTCCCGTATTCATCAATCTTGCATTTCCAACCATTGCTACAAACTCTGGAAAGCAGTCTATGGCCTCAAGCAAGCTCCTCGCGCATGGTACGAGACCCTCACCAACTTTCTCATGCGCTTTGGTTTTCAAAGAGGTGTTCTAGATCCTACTCTATTATGAAGATCTAATGGAAAGCATCTCATGTTGGTTCAAATTTACGAGGACGACATCATTTTTGGATCTACGGACTCGTCAAAGGTTGCTGACTTTGCTAAGCTTATGATCAATCGATTCCAAATGAGTATGAAGCGGGGGTTAAGTTTCTTCCTTGGTCTCCAAGTTAAACAGACTAACAGAGGAATTTTCATTCACCAAGAGAAGTACATTTCGGAACTCCTTAAAAAGTACTCAATGGACACCTATGCCTCTGCCAAGGTACCTATGGGATTCGGACACAAGATTTTTGTTGACACTTAAGGTGTTGCAGTTGATGAAAAGAAGTACAAAGGAATGATTGGATCTCTGCTTTATCTCACAGCTATCATCCGGACATCATGTTCTCCACATGATTGTGTGCCAGATTTCAATTCAACCCGAAGATGTCTCATGTTTTGGCTGTAAAGCAAATTTTCAGGTACCTTAAAGGTACGAAGATCCTCGGAATCTGGTACCCAGCAAATGAGAGTTTCCTGTTACAAGCTTACTTAGATTCAAACTATGGTGAACTACAACTAGACAGAAAAAGCACATCAGGTGGATGTGAATTCTTCAGTGGTCGATTGGTTAGTTGGTCATCCAAGAAACAAAACTGCATTGCTCTCTCTACAGCCGAAGCCGAATACATTGCTGCTGCCAGTTGTACCTCTCAAGTTCTATGGATGAAGTCTCAACTCTTGGATTATGGTTACCGCTTTCAACGCATCCCCATCTATTGTGATTCTCAAAGTGCCATTGCAATTTCACACAATCTAATTCAACACTCCATGACGAAGCACATCGACATACGATACCATTTCATAAAAGACCATGTTTTGAATGGAAACATTGCACTGATTCTTGTTCCATCTGATGATAAGATTGCTAATATCTTTACTAAGGCATTAGACAAAACCAAATTTAATGGTTTTCTGAACAAGATGGGTATGATGATGCTAGATGCTCAGTTCTTTCAAGGGACTTGTTCTCTTTGATGAAAGTATTCGAATGAAATCTCGTTCCGACTTAAAAAATAATCTTTCTCTCGGAACTACTTTCTCTCGGAATACACAAGATCTTTTTATTAGTCTTTATTTCTAACTGTCACCTGAGTTTTTAAGTTTTACAGTTCATCATGATTGTATGTTGTTCCGAGTCTACATAAGTCAAAATGAAAAATATTTCATCTCGGAATTCACCCCATAAGGTCATCCCGGAATTCCACTCGGAAAGGTATTGTGCTTTACACTTCGAAATTTTTCTTAAAAGTTCACTCTGGAAGTTTTCTCAAATCTTGTTCCGGACTGCTTCTCAAATCTCTTTCGAAAACTTCTTCAAAATTATTTTTTTCGGAAAACAAAAATCATCATTTCGGAATTTCGCTGCGGAATCTGAAATCAAACTCTTTCACTCCGAAATTTTCAAAAAACTTTAGATGACATTTCACTTCGGATTTTTCAAATCATAATTCCGGAATCTCAATTGAAAACCTGTAGAACTATAAACTCACTCCAGATTAATTTTTACTCCGGATCTTTTTCAAAAATATTGTTCGAAACTTAACTCTTTATCCATCGGTTTTTCAATCCGTCCAGAATCGATCATCTGGAATACCAAAGGTCAATAAGGCAAAACATTTTCATAACAGTTACTTTTAAGATGATCCTTATCCTATCTTCCTCGATTTTCGTGACACGTTTGCACGCCTCCATAAAGTAACCATCGAAACGCCGTTTAGGGTTTACCATTTCAAGCTACAAACAACCTAACATTTCCCATCCCAAGTCAACTCAACCCCCAAAAAGCAGTTATTCATTTAATGTGGCATGTTTCACATTCAGACCCTCATCATTACCTTCACTAAACTGACCCATTTCACTTACCTATATATATACCCATTAACACCCCTTTTATCTCTTTACGCGCTCAAACCCTCGAAACCTTCAAACCCTTTCTGTGTTCTTCGTGTTCATCAAGCACTCATCATTTTGCAACACTGGCGTCCTAATCTTCACCACAGAAAACTGCTCCAACCGCCTCAACTCCCAAGAAGTTCATCGCTAAGAAGAAACGATCAAAAGGTTCATCATCATCAATAGAGGAAAGATTAACATGATTTTTTACCTGATGCTCTGATGCATCATCCCATTCTAACTTGAGGTCATCAACAGTGTGAAGAGAATTAGCGTTAAGGATCCCATCACTATCATGTGAAGTATCAGTGTGAAATTCAATAACCTGACCCATAAGATACTTAGCTTCATCGTCTGAAGAGTTTTCCTTTTTAAAAGCAGATGATAGAGTGACCTTTGTTGGAATAGATTTCCCTCTCAGCTTACTGCCAGATGCACCATTATTGGAAGATGGATGCATAGCATCTATAGGACCTTTTTTACGATATCGAGCATATCGATATCCATGAACTCTAGAGCATTCATGGCATTCAATTTCCAATCATAGAAGTTGTATTTATCAAATGGAGGAATCTTGTTATAGACGAATAACTTAGGAACGAAAGAGGTCGACATGATTACTTGAGTGTGTCACATACCTGCTCTGATACCAATTGATGGTTTGTGATGATCAGATACACATTAAGTATTAATAATAAATGTAAAACTAATCTAAGAAAAACAATCAACAAAAAGTAAATAACACAGAAGTTCTCCAAAGTGTTCCTTTCATAAAGAAAAGAGGTTTTGTCTTCACAAAGAAGATGGTCACAAAGACGATTGACACAAATCCGTATTACACAACATTAAGGGTTTCCTGAATGTTGTATATATACTAATATATACATGTATATCCCATGATTGATGGGATTATATCTAATCTATACTAAGAACCGATCTTATCACAAAGATATCGGATATGTGATCTATTCTATATTTATCTATATCATTAACTAATATACAAAGAATTACAATCGAATAACTAAACTATAAATTGACGTTGATCCAAATTGATGCTGATCCACCACAAGTTGTTTTTCAAGGACAAAGAGTATGTCCTTGAATTACAATCGAATAACTAAATTATAATCGGATATGTGGACCCATCAAATCCACCACAAGGGATGTAAATCAATTTTATGTAACATTTACAGATGATTATAGCAGATATGGCTATATCTACTTAATCAAATATAAATAAAAAACCTTTGAAAAGTTCAAAGAGTTTAAACATGAAGTCGAGAATCAATTAGATAGAAAGATAAAGATGCTCCGATCTGATAGAGGCATAGAGTATCTTAGTATCGAGTTCCACGACTATCTCAAGGGATTGACTATGATGACACCTTCTCATCAGTGACCATGATAAATCTATTAGGATAATGCTCACCACAACTATCTTTCATGATTATGAAATATGGCAGATGGATGTTAAAACCGCTTTCCTTAATGGGAAGTTGGTTGAAGATGTTTACATGAGTCACCTAGAGGGTTTCATATATGTAAAACATCCTAATAGAGTGTGTAAGGTTGAGAAATCATTTATGGATTTAAACAAGCATTTCGCAGCTAGAATCTTTGCTTCCATGAAAAGTCAAAGAATTTGGTTTCTCCATGAGTGAGGATGAGTCATGTGTGTATGTCAAGGATAGTGGGAGTATAGTAACTTTAGTGGTATTCTATGTTGATGACATACTCCTTATGGGAAACGACAGTCCGACCTTGCAAGAAGTGAAATCTTGGCTCAGGAAGTGTTTCACTATGAAGGATCAAAGGGAAGCTGCCTATATTTTTGGGATAAGAATTTTAAGGGATAGAAAGAAAATGTTGATTGGTCTTAATCAGAGTACATACTTGGATAAGGTACTAAAACACTTTAGTATGGAAAATTACAAAACAAGGAGAGTTAGAAATTCATAATAATGCCAAGTTGGGTAAGACTCAAAGCCCCAGTACGGATGAAGAGATAGTGGAAATGAGTCGAGTCTCATATGCTTCGGATGTAGGATCGATCATGTACATTATGACATGTACTCACCTTGATGTGTCTTTTGCTTTAAGCATGGTCAGCCGCTTTTATGAAAATCCTGGCAGAGCTCATTAGATAGCATTGAAGAACATACTCAAGTATCTGTGAAGGACAAAGGACTTGGTTCAAGTCCTTTGGTGGTAGTGATATGTTGAGAGTGAGTGGGTATAGTGATGTCAGTTTACAAATAAACAGAGACAACCTTCGATCTTAATCTGGTTGGGTGTTCTTACTAAATGGAGGATTAGTCACTTGGAAAAGCTCCAAGCAGGACATTGTGGCTGATTCTACTTATGAATCAGAGTACATAGCAGCAAGTGAAGTGTCAAAGGAAGTGGCTTGGCTGAAGAACTTCATCGGCAATATCACAGTACTTCCGACCATTCAGGACCCAATGGAACTTTTTTGCGATAATGAAGGAGCGGTTGCTTTGACCAAAGAACCGAGAGATCATGGTAAATCAAGACATATCGACAGAAAGTACCGTTATATTAGACATAGAGTTGAAGAAGGTCATCTCATAGTAAATAGAGTGTCATCACAAGACAATCTTGAATATCCTTCCATGAAGACTCTAAGTAGGGTTAAGCATAGTCAGCATGCTAGGAGCATTGGTTTGAGAGATGATATTAGTTTTAGTAGTTAGATGATTAGTTTGAAACTTGTAATAGAATAAATGTAATTGATTTTGGTGATTGAATAATAGAGATTATTTAAGAGTTTGTTTACTGCCTTTGTCAATTATTTATTCTTTTGTTTTAATTTGCATGGTTTACCTCCTGAATAATTTGATTATTAGAAACTCCACAGTCACTCATACTTTAGGAAGTAAGTAGTGAATGAAGATTGTCATTAATTATATTGCCGATTGCCTAAGGAGATTAGACATAGGAATTATGTTGTTGCAACGTTCATGAGTACTAAGAAAATGGATATTTGAGTATTAGATAAACCCATGCTCATAGAATTACTTCATGGGTTTTATCATGTGTAATTCTAAGACGATAGCATCTTATATTCTTAAAATGGAGATATACGAGTTGGAATATACAAATCAGTTGTGCATTGGTATTATGTAAACGCATCAGTAACTTGATGTTATAAAATTTAGTATCACGCATGATTTGGTGAGTAAAGGATACATGCATATGAGTAAAAGTTTATTCGTTCCTTTTTCCCTAATGAGAAAAGCGATATCTTTAGGCCCCTCGCTGATTTGTTGTTGACTTATAGTGTTGGGCCCAACCAAGACTAAATTGATGTGTTCAATTAGTAAGTCTTATTAGGTCATCACAAGTCAGAAAATCAGGAAACATAATTTTAAACAATGAGATTGATTCTAATCCATGTCTCATGTCCATACGATATCTGGTAGAATGAAGGAATGTTAGATCACTTAAATTAGGACTACTGTATGATTAGATCAGAGTCTGGAGTTTCTTTGGGAAGCAAACTTTGCAGTTAGTTTAGAAGTTATATTTAGTTTAGAAGTTATATTGGTAGTTGTATTTATAGACTTATCCAAGTGGGAGACTATTGGATTAGGTTTCTAAGCCAATAACTAAATTGGTATATACTTGAATTATTAGCAAAGTCCTTTTGGTTTGCCTCAAACCTGGTAATTGAATAGGATGACTTTTAAAGAGAGAGAGAGAGGGAGAGGGAGAGAGAGAGAGAGACTGATTTATTGATTTATTATATGATTAATAAGGCTAAGCGGCGTGGGGATTTTAAGCCCACTCGCTACGATCGCTAGCGAGCCATGAACACCGCCCCTTAGCGCTCGCTAGGGGGTTCGCTATCGGATCCTCGTTACGATTTTGGCGAGAAGAGAGAGACGATGAGGGTGGAAGCTAATTGGTGGATGGAAGCTGTGGGTGAATGTATGATTCTTCATGTTTCTTTTTATTTTTCTTAAACTGATAAAATATATCAGTTTCCTTTTGATCATGTTCTGCGGTGCTAATTTCAATTCTTGTATTTTACGGCCATGGATGGAAGCTCCGGACATTTATTGAAACCAAAGGTACAAGTTTGCTTGACTTCTGATTTCATATATTAGTTTGGTGAGTAATGGCTAGGCGCTAGATCGTTGGTCTTGATTATGGTAGGCTTTTGTGTTTTCTAGGGTCTCTGGTGATAATAAGTTGTAGTATTGGGAAGTTGTTCAGTTCTTGTCTCTTTTAACCTAGAAAATACTTGTTCTGAAAACTATTAAGTTTGCCTGTGTTGTTAGGTTAGTAAATTTTGTTATGTGGAATGGCTGTATGATGATTAGCTTTTATTGTGTTATAGGGGTGGGTGTCTTATTTAAGCTTAAATTGTATTTAAGCATGCCATGAATTGTATGTACTTTGTGAAATTGTATTGAGAATGATTTTTACACAATTGAAGATGTTAAGATTTAAAAAAAGGATTAAAGGAATCTAGATGCACTGAATGATCTAATGTATCAAACACTGAAACCAAATTTCTGCATTCTTTTCTTTCTTGAAGTCTTGAACTAGTTTTATATGATCACATATGTAGAAGATTCATCCCTGTATTGTATATCAAGAACCCAATTGATACCATTTTCTCTTTAACAATTATGTTTGCATTTCATAGCATGAATTCAGAAAGTACAATTATGTTTACGCATTTGTTTTGTTTTTGACCATTATACCCTTTTATGCATCCTCTGCTTTTTGGGTCTCTTTTTTGCGGCTTTTATGTGATTTGAGTTCCCTTTTCACGTTGTTATTAATGTTTGTTTCTCATATCTAGTTTTATCACATGGGGCAACACTTGTTATAATTTATTTTAAATCAACCATTTCATATATTTTTTTAACCAATAAGATACCATATGGCTGCATTTCGAGCATTCTTAAACACTCTTGTTGGGTCCAAAACTACTAATTTTTTTAATATTTATGTACAAAAAATGTTTCTTTATTAAAATAAAGTAATTAAATTAAATTAGAAAAAGAAAATAAAAAAAAGTAAAAATGGAGTGCTAGGAGTGTTACCACTCCCTACCAAATGCTAAGATTAGGTGCTAAATAGTCAAAAATGAGGTGACACTTCAAATCTGATGTGGCAAGGTGTTAGGAGTGTTACCACTCCCCTTAGCCTAAATAATAACAATAATAGTATACTATAAGAATAATATATTAACTAGAAATAGTATGATTTAATTAAGAATTAATCAGATAGATGAACAAAAGAAGTTCTAGAACCTTCCGTAGGCTATGGACGGTTTTTAGGGATAAATTAATGGTTTGATTAATCCTTAAATATAATTAAGGAGTTGGATAATTATCATATTTGAAATAATAATGTTATATAAAAATTAGGGTTTCCAAGGCTCCTTGTATCAGCTTTAAATAGAGTCCCTTGGAATCATATTTCCAGCCATCCCTTTTACCAAGAGAATAGCCGAAAATCATATCCCATCTTCTCTCGCTTCAAGTTTCCTTAGTTTCTAGTGTTTGGGTGTGAACTATCAAAGGCACGAGATTTCTGGTGCTTGCTTCCAAGAGCTATTGAAGAAAGAATTCATTGGTTATTTACAAGAATAATCAAAAGGTATGTAAACCCTAACTTATTTATGATTTTCGAAAATACTAGGGTTTCCATAGGTTTCTTTGATGTTAATAGATTATAGCTTTCAATAGTAAAAACATAGATCCCATTAGGTTGCATGTGAACTTAAGAGTTAAGTTATTTTATGCCACATGAATTTTGTAACCTATAAACCTATCGATATAATGAGTCTACTGATTCTGACGATCAAATTCTTAATGGTTCACCACGAAAAGGATGACTTTTCGAATCAAATATCAAGACACGCAGCCTGAATGTCACTATGCATACATATAATATGGATAGAAACATCATAACACATGAAACTACTTCGACATCATTTCTTGAGTTGGCATCTGTTATTCCACCTGAAGTCTCTATTTCCAAGTCCAATATAGAGGAGGGTAGAACTTTGAACATCCCTGAGAGCTTCTCTAATAAGGACTAAAATTTTAATACGAGTGTGAATCCTTCGACTTCTATTTCTGATTTTTCAAGTTTTCTACCACCATCTCAACCAACCTTGATCACTCATCATACAACAGTTCCTTTCATTCACCTACTTTTGAAAATATTCTATAACAACCCATTATAACTTTTTTTCTTCTCAATTCACAGATCATGAAATGAAGAATGCTGAGGAAGAAGAGCATATTGAGTTAGTTGAATTGGAATTTAATCCTAAGGAAGAATATGTTGAGGATCATGACATTATGTTTGTGAAGAAATACAAGATTCTTAATTCAAAACTGAACACAATTCTTTAGTTTGTGAATGAATCTTCGGCTTTTTCCACTTCTTCTTTTAATAAAGATGATGTCAAATTTCTTTTGAAATTTCAAGAAATGAAGAGAAAGACGCTTATACCCAATGCAGATACACAATAAGAGATTGGTCTATCAAACAACATGACTCCTTACAAGTTCGACATTACGGAAGTCAGAACTATTGCTCATGAAAGGCATGAGATTTTTTTTAGAAGATGGTAACTTCTTCAAAGGAGTCAATTTTTTTGAAAATTAAAATTTTGGTTAGCATGTTTACTAAGGAGATAACCAAGCTCGATAAATTATGTACTGGGATTTAGTATAATTTTGATGTTCTTCTTGGGGATACAAGAACATTAGACGAAGACATTTGTTTTTAACAAAGATTATGCTGCATTATTGAAGTCTAAGAAAGAAACTGATGGGAATTTGTTCGCCAACATTTAAAATTCTCTTACTAATTTTCATGATCACCTATTGAAGTTTGATGTTAAATAACTACTTCGATTTCTAAGGAACAAATTTTGAATGTTGTTTCTTCAGTGGAGTCCTATTTTAAAGCTCATCTTTCTCTAATTTTTGATCTTGTTCTTGGATTTCCCATAAATGTTGCATGCCCATCGATGTTCATGTCAAAAGAGGAAGATAAGGGTGTTTATCGAAGAATGGAGGCCAAAGACAAAGGTAAGGTAGTTGGGAAGGTTTTTACCATACAAATTCCAGATCCAATTCAAGTGAAACCTATTCTGACAACTTCAACAACAAAAGTAACTCCAAATATCAAAGTTGATATTTTAAAGCTTCAACCAAATAAGGGGTTGAACATAACAAAAGGAGGTTCATTTTTTAGATTATTAAATCTTTTGCAACATCATAATCGAAGGGAAAAAGAAAAGGTGTTCATGTGGAGCCATCTGAAGAAGAGAAGAAGAAACTTCAAGATCTTGAAATAGAGAAAATGAAACAGCTTAACAATACAAGGAGACTAACAGCAAATGACCCACCCAGTCTTAACAAAGGAGATCCAAATAAAGTGTGGTGTTATGAAGCAATTGAGAATATAGCTTATGGCAAAGTTGATGTGTTTAGAAAACGACCAAAGAGAAACTATCACATCAGAAATGTAGACTTTAATCAATTGGACTTTTCATTCAATCATTTGATGTTTATATTTGCTCAGTTTAAGCTTGCTGAAAATTTTCATAATTCAAAGGAGTATAAGAGTATGAAGATTCAATTTTAGCAGTTCTTAGACAAAAAGAAGAAGATGCTTGGACTCTGGTGAACACTGTTAAACTTGTACTGATAATCCATGATGTCATGTTCGAAGGAGTAATTCAAAATTATCGATATACAATTATTAGGGCTAACAACATACTTTGTGAGTTCACCATTTTTTACTTTCCTTTGATGAACTTAAATGATCTCATCACTGTTACAAAGATTATGGGAGATCTGAAAAATGATCAAGTTCAAGATATATCATCATACATCATTATATACAGTCATATCAAAAGCTTCATAGACTATTACTATGCTCATCTAGCATTAACATACTTCGAGTTTGCCACAAAATTTAAGAAAAATCCAAAACTTCCCAAGTAAATGTTGAAAGTGAAAATGAACATCGAAGACTATGAAGATGGTGAAATCATTGATCAACCAAAAGGTGTTGTATTTCAGGGAAAGATTATGAAAGGGAGGGGGGAAGAAATACTTCTTCCCTATTAACGATAGAGAAAGATATTTAAACTTGAATCTTTCTAGTGTCTTTATCATGATTAACAAGTACAAGAAAAATTCAAATGAAAATGGAGCTGAGATTAGGAAGATTATCGTTTGGTATATAAAGATAAGAAGGGTATTGTTAAATGTGATAATGACGCTACTCATACTTTGAAGATTTGATATTGATCATAAAGGGTGGTATTGTAGAGTCAATTATGTTGTGATATATCAAATTCTTAGGTAGTAGTCAAACTTTGTCATAATCGAAGGTCTACATGACTTCAATTATATATGTATTTTATCATAAATTTGTGTAGTTTCTCTTTCCATGTTGAAGTCCTGATATACTTTTTGTATCTGTTAAGTGCACTACAAATAGTGCAGGTAATTGTCTCATTTGTAAATTTTGTGATTCTGAGCTTAAACACTCTCATAAATGAACTCGTATGAATTCCAGAATAACTGAGCTGAAACTACATTATATTTACATCTTTGTGTTCATTGTAACTCTGATTTACTTATACAATTGGTTTAACAATACTTCAACATTGTGGATTAGGTCCAATTTCAGACTCAATCTAAAATTGAGTGTTTGTTTTGCATATTATCATTGCAATCGGTCAATATTTTGATTGCGTCCTCACAAAAGCTTTAGATCCGGTCCGACTGGAAAAGGGGTAGGATTTAGTCCTTAATTTTTTTGTGTCCATTTTTCCCTATCAAAAGAAACGTAAGTAGAAGGCGCATCTTGTCCTCGTCGTTTCTTCCTCCTCTTTGTCTTCTTCCTCAATTATGTTCCCTTGTTGCTATATATGTTCTTAATCAATCCTTAAAACTCGAAATTCACAATAAAACTCAAAATTAACCCTTAAAACTTAAAATCCATTATTGTGTAAAAATCGAAAGGGAAGTTGTGAATATGGGTGCGTGATGGTGGTCACATGTTATGAGATGGTGGTGGTTCATGTTTTGATGGTAAGTGATTGCTCAGTCTTGAACAAAATAGGGAAAGAAGGTGGTGATGGTGGTGAGAGGAAGATGATGGTAGGTATGGATGATCGATAATGTTTTTATATCGAGCCAATAACTTTGACATCAAAGATAACGATATGTAAATCATCTTATATTTCATCATTTTCAAGATTATAATCAAGTTTTGTTTGTTTGGACAAGAGAGATTGAAGATCAGATAGATATGGTAAAGAAGGTACCCGAATGGATTAGTAAGAAGGTGGCTCATAGTGGTGATCTTTTGTACAAGTGAGTAATCTTTATATTCAATGATTTAAATTAATATTTGTGGGAAAGTCTCATTTTAATGCATAATTAATGACTTGATGAATAAACTAATATAATTGTTGCATTTTATACGGTATAAACAAAAGGTTTCGAAGTCTATTACTGGAAAGCTTAATATGTAACCACACAGTCAAGAAGAACTCACTGTGAGACCATGAAGAAGAGGAATTTTAGATTCTAAGTTTCCAATGTCTAGATGTATTGAGCCTTGTTATTGATTGATTTTGTATTTAATTTAAAGTTACTTAGCTTGTTTTCTTAAGAGTCTTATTCTTTTGTTTTATGATTGAAGTTCCAAAGTGATGGTGGAGAGAGGAAGGTGATGGTGGTCACAAGTAACTTTTTACATGTGTATATCAAACCAATAGTCCAAAAAAAGTTGTAAATCTTTCATTTCTTTACTTTTTACTGCAAGTTGAATGCTTTTATAAAAAAAAATATAATGTTATAAACTAAATGATAAATCATAAATTAATTATTATAAAAAAAATTGTCTATGGAATGTAGTCATTTTGCACTATAATTCAATACAAAATCAAACAGTAAATTTCAGTCAAAAGTTAACTCGAACAGAAATTCTAATCTAACAGCTCTAACCCAATTAGCAACTATTAAACGACCACTAAATCAAAAGTCGGTTGATGACTACTCAATTTTAAAGTTAATCCATGTGAATCGCATAACTTAAACACAATTTTAAACGGTTTAACAAAATACCATGATTGTGAAATTTGACATTGGTATTAATATATTTTTATATAATTTAATAATAAAATACATATATACGATGATGTAAATATATTAAACCCTTTTATTGCGAGAATAAAAACATTATGCATTTGATTTGGTTGGGGTACACTTTGCCCCTACCAAGTAAAGCACCTTGTCACATGCAAACAAAGAATCTTTAGCATGCCTTTGTAAAGCCGCTTTGCTTGCTACAAAAAGGAGGTAGGGGCCAAATATGTCTCGGTTCCTTTCAAAAAGGACACTTATTTGCTTATGTATAATCAAATCTACCAAGTCGACTTGTATTACATTTAAAATAACCATAAAAAAGTTATATAAAAAAAAATGAAAGGTTGACAATTTTAATAAGTTGGTAACAAATAAAAACAGCCAATTTTTAGTACAAGGTGAAATGAGTAAAGTTAAGCTGTGTTAGCCCCAACACTTTTTATGTTCATTCTTGTTAGGTTATTATAAATTATCAAAATATCAAATATGATTAAAATCTATACATTTACAACAATGATCATATTTTTTGAGTTGCACAATATTGTGATGTTGTACACGTTAAAAAAAATCAACCACCTAGGCCTTTCCAATTATTTTTTTTCTAGTAATTTTCATTAACTTATTCTTTCATTAGTAAACGAGCTAGAATTCTCATATTAAACTTTATATAAAATCAAATAAATATCACCTATTTATTTAGAATAAAAAATTATATGGTTTCATAATTAAAAATAAATTGATAAAAATAAAAGAATCAACAATATTTGTGGATATATCTTAATAAACTTGGCCGACGTGTTAACTGGAAAACAATTAGATCATCAAGTAACAAACTTTAGAAAGCTGACTGCAATTAAACTGAAAAAGATCGTCTGGTTTAGTGAAAAATTGATTTAGTCAGAGAGATTAAACCGATAAACAAAACCTAGTTTTAAGAAATTTAATTTTATTGAACTCAAACTCGAGCTCGATATTGCTAGAATGAGCGGACCTGAAAAACACTTGAAGAAATAGAACATCACATTGTAACTTCATTTTGTCATTTTATGATTGCCCACTTAAACATACACCTGAAAAGTACATTTAAATTTTAAGAAATCACTCATAAAAACTATGTTACACCAGTTTACCTTTTTACTACAGTTAAGTACTTTTAATTTTCTCATATCAGAGGCTTATACTTTCAAGAATCAACGTTATATCATATAGCAATTTTATCATCCATTCCTCCACTAAACATCATTTACATATACTATAAAATATTGGATGAAGTTGAAGATAATGTTTACCCGTAGAGTAGTAGTCACTGAAGGAATAGCTGCTTCATTCATTTTTCCATTGGCTTCCATATACAAAATCATCAAAGATTGTTATCATTTTAAAATCAGATTAGATGATTATACAATAAAATTAGGTAAATATTGATATGAATCCAACAACTATTATTTGTGCACAAACTGTAATATATGCAACTAACACTCCAATCAGAGATACATTTCTATCATCTTAGCATGTTATTCGAAAGCTACCAATTAAGAAATTATTAGTGAAGTATCTTGAATTGTGTGAAGTTTGTGTTTGTATTTGAAGAATGTAGATGAGTGTTCGAAGACCATCACCTGTGTTTGTACTCTACAATAGATTAATCCTCCAACTACCATCACTCAAATTCCCTTGTTGTCAGGAAAAAAAACCCAAATTATCCGTAGAAAACATAATGTATAACGCCCCGATTCTCAGCTTGGAAGGAGGGCTTGTGGGAGGAAGAACTTGGAGAACAAGGGGATAGGAGCAAGGAAGGAGTGGGAAATCTGAAATCTGCCTCAGTTAGCACCCATTGAAGGTATCAAGTCGACATCATAAATACGAAAGTTAGGGTCTTTAGACACACAATGCCTGCTCTCCCTCCAGGAGACTCTGGTTACAAAACGTGATATAGCAATTGAATTTTTGTATCATGAAGTAGGATTTCACATTTTTGGTTTATTTGTTTTAAGTAAAGGTTGAATGTTATCCTTTTCTTAACAAAGTGGTTTTAAACCTCGTGAACTTATCTAGTAAAAATAGGTATTTCATTTGTGTCTTAAATTATAACTACCATAATTTATATGTTTTATCTGATTATCATGATAACTCATGAAAGTACCCCCTTGCTCAACATGAAACAAGGTGACTATATTGGATTGAGGTAAATTTTATATTCCTATATATATATATATATATATATATATATATATATAATCAAGAAGGAAACGACATTTGGGCAGATAACTTCACCTTGAATCCTCATCCAGACAAGGAAAAGAAAGTAAGGCAATTCATCACTCCTAAGTCCTTTAAGTCTTATTTATATTACTATATATATATATATATATATATATATATATATATATATATATATATATATAAACATGATTTCTGATTGTTATGAGTTTAATATTCATATATGTATTTGACATGTATAACTATGAGTTAATA